CCCCCTGGCACTCCTAATAATGTACTTACTATAGTCCTAAAGTTCAAGCGGTCTTTGACAGGCATTCTTGCCATGTTCCTGACAATCAGCCACGAGTACCTCTGAAGTTACAGGGACTGAAGAAGCTCACAGTGACTGATGTGACACTGGTGCTGACGGTATAAAGCGCTGCCGTTCCTTCTCCAGCTCCGTCCAGTCATGTCACCATTACAGACCAGTCATGTCACCATTACAGTCGAGTCATGCCACCATTACAGGCCAGTCATGTCACCATTACAGTCCAGTCATATCACCATTACAGTCCAGTCATGCCACCATTAGAGTCGAGTCATGTCACAATTATAGTCCGGTCATGTCACCATTACAGTCCTGTCATGTCACCATTACAGTACAGTCATGTCACCATTACAGTCCAGTCATGTCAACGTTAACGTCAAGTCATGCCACCATTGCAATCCAATCATGTCACCATTAGGGTCCAGTCATGTCACCATTACAGGCCAGTCATGTCACCATTACAGTCCAGTCATGTCACCATTAGAGTCCAGTCATGTCACCATTACAGTCCAGTCATGTCACCATTACAGTCCAGTCATGTCACCATTAGAGTCCAGTCATGCCACCATTACAGTCCAGTCATGTCACCATTACAGTCCAGTCATGTCACTATTACAGACAAGTCATGTCCCCATTACAGTCCAGTCATGTCACCATTACAGTCCAGTCATGTCACCATTAGAGTCGAGTCATGTCACCATTACAGACCAGTCATGTCACCATTACAGTCCAGTCATGCCACCATTACAGGCCAGTCATGTCACCATTACAGTCCAGTCATATCACCATTACAGTCCAGTCATGCCACCATTAGAGTCGAGTCATGTCACCATTACAGAACAGTCATGTCACCATTACAGTCCTGTCATGTCACCATTACAGACCAGTCATGTCACCATTACAGTCCAGTCATGTCACCATTACAGTCCAGTCATGCCACCATTAGAGTCGAGTCATGTCACCATTACAGGCCAGTCATATCACCATTACAGTCCAGTCATGCCACCATTAGAGTCGAGTCATGTCACCATTACAGGCCAGTCAATCACCATTACAGTCAGTCATGTCACCATTAGAGTCCAGTCATGCCACCATTACAGTCGAGTCATGTCACCATTACAGTCGAGTCATGTCACAATTACAGACCAGTCATGTCACCATTACAGTCCAGTCATGTCACCATTACAGTCCAGTCATGCCACCATTAGAGTCGAGTCATGTCACCATTACAGGCCAGTCATATCACCATTACAGTCCAGTCATGCCACCATTAGAGTCGAGTCATGTCACCATTACAGGCCAGTCATATCACCATTACAGTCCAGTCATGCCACCATTAGAGTCCAGTCATGCCACCATTACAGTCGAGTCATGTCACCATTACAGTCGAGTCATGTCACAATTACAGACCAGTCATGTCACCATTAAAGTCCAGTGATGTTACCATTATGTTCAAGGCATGTCACCATTACAATCCAGTCATGTCACCATTAGAGTCAAGTCATGTTACCATTACAGTGCAGTCATGTCATTCTTAAAATCCAGTCATATCACTATTATAATCCAGTCATGTCACCATTACAGACCAGTCATGCCACCATTGCTCTCCATTGGCTTCACAATTAAAGTCCAGTGATGTCACCGTTACAGACCATTCATGTTACCATCACAATCCTATCATGTCATGGATCTGTAATTCCAGTTAAGGTAAATCTGCACAAATCAATCTCGAACGCCAAACGTGAGCTGAATAATCAGTAAATTCAATACTGCAGCCAGCAGCCTGCAAACCTGAGACGTTAGATATAGTCATTTGGTGCCACTAACAATGAGAAAGCTTATGCAAAATCAAACTGTTACATTTCATCATATCAAATTAATGCGTAAAATTAATTAATAACTACTGGTTAGCAAACTTTGCCGCAATGAGTTGATCGGATCAATGTAATGGCTTTGATGTGTGGATCGATTGGATGTGCACGCTCTCTCTGTACATTCAAACTCGACCCACCTCTTGCTCCCTCTCGCTGTCCTTTCATACTCTTTTCCAGTCTTTCTCCCTCGAACTGTTACACTCTTTCACTCACTCAATTCTCCCCACCCTCACCCAAATATACTCTCTTTCAACTCTCATATTCTCTGCTCTCTTCCTATCTCTTTATTTACCTCACTATCTCCCTCTCTCTCACACTGTCCACCACAAACTATCTCTCAATCACGATCTCACTCTCCCCGTCTCGATCTCTGTCTCCTAACCCTACTTCTCTCCTTCTGCGAACCCCCAATTTCTCTCCCTGTGACACTCTCTCTCTCAATGACTCTCTTTTTCTCTCACATCAGCACCTCTTTTAATTCTCAATCACACACTATCATTCTGCTCCTCCCACAATCACTTTCTTCCCCTCACTCTCAATTACTCTTTCACCACCCCTCACCCCTCTTTCCCATACGCACTCTGTATCTGCCCTCTCACATTCTCTCTGCTTCACTCTCTCCGTGCTCTCCCTTCTAAATTATTCTCTGAATTACGCAATAACATTTCTGATTGCTGCGTTCACCTTCACACCATCTCGATTCTTCTCTCTCTCATTCCCTGATTCTCTCTCATTCAATCTCTCACCCGTTCACACACAGGATCTCATTCTATTATTTCCCTCTGTCTCACTGTGTCTGACTCAGTGTTTCACTCAATCTCACTCACTCAGTTTCTCTCTCACTCAGTCTTTCTTGCAGCCAGTCTCTCTCTCTCTCTCTTTCTTCCTCCGTCTCTCACTCAGTCTCATTTAATCACTGGGTCGCATTCAATTACACACTCTCTCTCAGGCTCACTTATTTTCTCTCCCATTCTCAGCCCCTCTCTCAATCTCTCTCTACGTCTCACAAATTCTCTCTCTCTAACTCTCATTCAGTCTCCTTTTATCTTTGTCTCTCACGAAGACTCTCAGGAAGTCTCTCCCTCTTACTCAGTCTCCCCCTCGCTCCCTCTTCCGTAGTCTGTAACTCAGTCTCTATCTTGTTCAGGATGACACTTGATGTGAGAGCCCCGTTGATGTCAGACTAAAACTGGAATGGAATATAGGTGATGGTGCGTTGATAGAGCCTGGACAGAAACCAAATAATGGCCATTGGCCACCGCACTAAACTCTGACTGTGGCGTAGACAGGACCATCTTCCTCATCGGCTTCACGTCCTACTTCATTTCTGTTTCCAATTGCAAAATTGGCGTAGATGATTTCAGCGTCCTGCAAAACAGGCCAACAATTAGCACGTCTGCTGAAGATCAGAGGGAAATCCCCCTCACCTCAAACCCACCACCCAGGACACCCCGATTCACAGCTCCAGTAGGTGAATCGTCGTGGGTGTTCCCCCCACCCACAGCCCCAAGGATCCTATGGATGTGAACATTCCTGCAAAGGGGAACCGAACCCTGACAAATCCCCTCGTAAGTAAATACGAGTCAATAGTGATGATAAAACCTTGCATTTAAGAAGTATTCCTGAGGTGAATGGCGCTGTTTGAGTGCACAATTTAAACACACACACACAGACATACAGACTCGCCCATACAGAGACACACAGACGCACACACACACACGCACACACACGCAGACACATACGCAGAAGCACACACACACATTCACACAGACAAACCAGTACACACACACACACACAACCACAGGCAAACAGAGAGACACATGCACACACACATAGACAGACAGCCCGACAAACACGCACACACACACACACGCACACACACACACGCTTGTCACGTTGACAGAACAGCTCAAATAGGCTTACAACATGTATTATCAATAGGACAAACTTTATAATAATAATAATAATAATAATAATAATCCTTGCATTTGATATAGCGCTTTTCACGTCAGGAGGACGTCCCAAAGCGCTTCACAGAACACACTGTAAAGTGAATTGACTGTATATTTGTGGGCGAACGCGGCAGCCAATTGCGCACAGCAATGTCCCACAAACAATCGTAGATTGAAAATGACCAATTTATTATTGTTTTTGGTTTTGGAGGACTATTATTAGGCTCTGTGTGGAGTAAGGAAACTTGCCCAAGGTTTCGCCCTCTGCCTGGGATTGAACTCAGGTCTCTCACTTGCAAAGCGAGTGCTCTAACCACTGAGCTACAGGACTCCACAACCATAACCATAACCATAACCATAACCAAACGCAGTAACCAAATTTTGCACAGAAACGTCCTACAAACACGCAGTCACTGCTCTATGCAGTAAGTCATGCTAAGCTCTTTGAGACACCCTCGTCATGTAAATTATCTATAACGAACGCATGGATTATTATTATTTTTACGAAATGAGCTAACCTTTTTTTTTTCGAGCAGGAAATGGGGAGATTCTCCCTTCTTTTTCTCAGTGTTGCTAAATTCCCGACTTTCGGGTTTGGCCCATGAATTTCTAGGTCAGGCGAAAAGTGCGACCGGCCAGACAGAGCGACACAGAGCCTGAGCTGGGTTGAGCCAGATTGGCAGAAATCCTGAGCGAAAGTGGCACATGGTCTGAGTTAGGCTGAAACTAGGCATGAGCTGAGCTGCAGGGGTCCTGAGTTGGGCTGACAGAGGGAGTCCTGTAGCTCAGTGGTTGAGCACTCGCTTTGCGAGCGAGAGACCTGAGTTCAATTCCAGGCAGAGGGCGAAACCTTGGGCAAGTTTCCTTACTCCACACAGAGCCTAATAATAATCCCTCCAAAACCAAAAACAATAATAAATTGGTCATTTTCAATCCACGACTGTTTGTGGGACATTGCTGTGCGCAATTGGCCGCCGCGTTCGCCCACAAATATACAGTCAATTCACTTTACAGTGTGTTCTGCGAAGCGCTTTGGGACGTCCTCCCGACGTGAAAAGCGCTATATCAAATGCAAGGATTATTATTATTATTATTATTATTATTATAATGGTACCGACACTACTCACCGCTGGAGGCATCGAGCGTGGAGCAATTCTCACAGTTGCATCTGGAACAAACGGTAACGGGATTTAACAGCAGCACAATTCAATCAGTATTACCACTGCTGTTTGGTAATATTATTAAAGATATCAGTGATTACAATGAATAATTATGAATGACCGTGACAATGATTATTAAGCAATAACAGTAATATCTTATTAATCATTTCGCTTGAATTAAGTCCTTATCACCACTTCAAAAAGTCCGAAAGCGTATCACAACATTGACGGCGCAGAGCATTAATTGCGTATTTTGTGAATGAAACGCAGAAGCCATTCGTGTCCAGCATCCACACAAAGATACACGCACACACGCAAACACACACCCAGTGTGTGAACGATTTTTCGTGGCGTATTGTTGGCCAGAGGGAGATTGCTGAGCGGGAAAGCCAAATTCATGTTTTTGAATAGCGACGCTTGATCTTTAATGTCCACCTGAAGATGCGGAACGGACCTCGATTGATCGTCTTATCTAAAGGAGAGAAAACTTCAAGCGGCTCAATTTGAGAGAAGCGATTGAAAGTCAGACACACAGATTGTTATGCAGACAGACAAACACACCGACAAACACACAGAAAGACACACAGGCAGATCAAGAGAGGAGAGTGGCAGAAACACAGGTCGACGCACAGTAAAGTCACACAGACAGAATGAGAGAAGGTGAGTGGAGACAATCAGAAGCATAGACTAAGAGAAAAGGCGGGAGACAGCTTCAGACAGCCTCTGGTATGCGGGAGGCTCAGGAGCAAGTGATGAGTTTCTGAGGTGCTCGGGCACAAGGCTGACCAGGACTGTTTGTGACCAGCTCCTTTCACTCTGGACTCAAAGCCAGGAAACCTATTGCTCACATGTGACGCTGCTGTTTTGTGGGCCGCCTCCCATGGGTACATTCCTGAGAAAAAAACGAGAGCAGAGGGCGATTAATTACTGCGGTTCTACTGACGATATTTAGAGAGCTCAGAACTATGCTTGAAACGGTGCTAAACACCAACTGTTGTCTCTCATCTGGGGGAAAGGACCGGGAAATGGCACTGACAGAAATGCTCTTGAAGGAGCATCATCACAGACATGTGGGGTCGAATCGCCGCTTTCTGTCCTGTCGCTGTCTCTGGTGCTACAGTTGGAAAAAAAGCAGCAGAAATTTTGCCAGACGGGCTCATTGCTTCAAAAGCTGGTAAAACGGCAGAGCCCTGAACTGGAGAGTGTAAATTTTGGTAGCAGGTTTCTGTGATATATAGAGCCCGATGACAAAAAACTGTGTGTGGGGTGTAGCGAGGGGCGGGGGTGGGGCACGGCTAGATTTGTGCTGAAAACCATCACCACGGTTACAGGTATCCACACCAGACGTTGAGTTCCAGTCATGCCTACGACCCTTGGAAATGCCTGTGTTTCTGATGGATATGCAGCAGCTCTGCCAACCTGATCGCAATGAGCCCAAGAGTCAGGATGGCGAGAGTCAGGGTTGGGCGACCTCAACGTGTGCATTGGAGTAAATGCTGGGGTCTCAATATGTAAAATCACAAAGCTTTGGAGCACTGTCTGGCAAGCTACGTCTGCCAGTCGAGATTGGACCAATCAACCCGTTAGGGATTTTTCTTGCAGGGTAACAGGAGCTGAGTGGGAGGAATACTTGGCCACGGTGTCTGTCTGCCCTCCAAGTGAGGGTGGGAGTGAGCACCGGTACAGAGAATATGGGGAGAGAGCATTTAATGAGATTAAAATGGAAATGCCCAGTGGGGTTCGAGAAGCAGCATAGCAACGATGGGGTGAGAACAGGAATTTAAATACTGCAGAGAACTCCATTGGGGATGGCAGCACCTGCACAGGCAGGATGGGAAGTGAGCATGGAAGAGTGGAGAAATATCCTCACCTTTCCCTTATTCGACTGTTCTGTTTACCTGCAAGTACAAAATGTAATAAATATCAAATATTCGTTGATACTAGTTGTATATTTTTGTGGTTTTACGGTTAGTAATATGCCCTTCTCATCCGGCGTCAAAAGGGCTTGACAGGGATGGTTAGCAGAAGCAGAACCCACTCAAACCCCCCACACACTAACGCCATCATTGGACTTGCCTTCAACCACTCCGCCGCGCTCTCTCCAAATACGTTCCAGACACCTCGCATACTACCTCAAGAGAGTCCAACAGAGAGCCATAGAATGAGTGACCAATTTTACTTTGGGGATTGTTGGCCAGGATACGAGGATAATCTCCATCATGTTGTCGATTGGTGCCACAGGATCTGCATTGTCCACATGATCAGAGACTCAGGACCTGTGTTTAACGGTCTCACGGGTGGTTCAGGCGGAAAAACATAACATTAAAGAAAGAGTCTCAAATTACAATACGTTCTGTACTGTATTGCTAGCAATCATCTCAAACAACAACAACGATTTGGATGTATATAGCGTGCACGCCACACGGCGTCTCAGCTCGCGTCTCAGTAACGGAAACCGGGGCCGAGCCAAAGGGAGGGGGAAGAAGTTGAACAAAGTCGCGGTGGAAAAGAAAGATCTTCAGCCCAGACCTGAAAATTGGAAGAGAGGGGACGATGCGAAGGGAGTGAGGAAAGGAGCTCCAGATTTACAAGCCAAGATTAATGTAGCCATAGGACTACGGAGTCCTGTAGCTCAGTGGTTAGAGCACTCGCTTTGCAAGTGAGAGACCTGAGTTCAATTCCAGGCAGAGGGCGAAACCTCGGGCAAGTTTCCTTACTCCACACAGAGCCTAATAATAATCCCTCCAAAACCAAAACAATAATAAATTGGTCATTTTCAATCTACGACTGTTTGTGGGACATTGCTGTGCGCCATTGGCTGCCGCGTTCGCCAACAAATATACAGTCAATTCACTTTACAGTGTGTTCTGTGAAGCGCTTTGGGACGTCCTCCCGACGTGAAAAGCGCTATATCAAATGCAAGGATTATTATTATTATTATTAAGATGAGCCTTGACTACAGCCACTCAAGTTTCGTTAGCCAACTTAAGTATAAAAATGCCCATTACCGATTACGCTAACATATTCGTTGACTTTTCTTCCTAAGTCAGAATCATGATGCTCTGTATTCGCTCCCAATAATACGTGAGTTGACAAACACCGAAGACTGATTTGGTACCTTTGTGCTCAGTTCTCCATCTGCACACATTGACGCAGATTATTAGCAATACACCGCGGTTAATCCCATTACTTTCACTTCCTTTATTCCCAGTAATTGTAAAATGTACTGACTGACACCTGTGGCTACATTAATTGGTTATTTCCTTTATTCATTCATCATATGCTGTATTCAGTGACATTAATAGCTACTTACCTCTCTTATACACGCAGAATCCCAGTACAAACACAGTGATCACCAACGCTGTGACAATCCCCAATGTCAGTCCAGAAGTTTGCTCCCTGGTCCAGCTTGCTGGGGACATACATGGACAGAGAGTAATTTGTCGACTTTGAGGAGTTACTGTGCGGGTAAAGCTGATCATTTTAAAGCCCTCACTTCAGTTTAATCTCCTTCTAATGTGAAAGTGCTATGGAAACTAATATTTGCTCTGTTGTAATGAAAATAGCCAATTTCCCATAGACTGCCCTGAGGAGTAAAACGTATCTCTTTGACCGTGCCTTCAGCTCCCCTCTCGACTCTCTTCCCCCTCCTCGCTCCCTCCCTTCCCTCCCCTCACCCTGACCATTTCCCCCCTCCTCGCTCCCTCCCTTCCCTCCCCTCACCCTGACCATTCCCCCCTCCTCGCTCCCTCCCTTCCCTCCCCTCACCCTGACCATTTCCCCCCAATGCTCCGGTCATGACCCAACTGTGCAGCACCTTGGGACGTCCTCCTGACGTGAAAGGCGCTTTATAAATGGAATCTTGTTGTTGTTGTTGTTGTATCGTCCGCTGACCCTGGGAAGGGGGAGCTAGGCAGGGACTCCTTGGGTTCTGTGCCGGTGACCTGCCAAACTGTGGAAGATCGCGATTGAGCCTAAACTTGATGGTAGTCTCCAGTTAATCCCAGAGCCAGGCGGGTCCGCAATATTCAAGGGCACTGCTGAAAACACAACACTGCAGCCTTGGCTCATCGGCAAGAGTTGAGTGGCACATTGTTCGCTCGGAGTTGGGATATTTTGACTTGGCATTAATGGTGAAAGTCAACTTGAGCGGGTGGTCCTCGCTGGAGTGGAAGGGTTTTATGTACTAGATTACGCTCAATGACAAGCTGTTTGGTGTCGTTGGTTAAATAATAGCTGGTTTGGCTTGGAAACTGTTTTGCCGCGGGAGTTGGTTTCCGTTCGAGGTCCAACACTCTACCAAACACCAGGAAATCAAACGGAAATAAGATCGGTGGTTTGAAGTGTGGTTCCAACAGGAGCTGCTGTAAATGTTCAGAATGCAACCAGTTATTATGTGAGATTTTACTGTGTTCTTACCCCGCTCAGAGATTCCCAATCGCTCGCTCTCTGGTGATCTGAACAGTCGTCCGTCTAAATAAGCAGTATATGTACACGTGTAGTTTCCTGCCATGATCTCCGATGGGGTGAATGTTGCCGCGTTGTTATTCTCTGGAGCTGGTTGTAATATGATAAACTCACTGTCTCTGTATAAAGAGAAATTGCTGCCAGGATAATTCCCAGAGCACGAGATCTCAGCTCTTTCCCCTCTCACGAACTCCCGGAAATCTGGTTTCATGGAAATGTTGGGTTTCTGGAGCGAATCTGGAATTAAAACACTGCATAGGTAACCTCACAGAGGCTCGCTGTGTGACACGAAAACAGATCAGGACAGTGTAAAAGTGACTATGTGTCAGGTTCTCTGTCTGGAGGAGGCATCGGGACGAGGGGGAGGGTTTGAGCGGCAGATTCAGGACAGACACCAGCTTGTATTTCTTCACACAGAGGGAGGGGAAGCATCGGGAAATGTGATCCTGAACCTCGCTGCCTGAAGCTTGGATTGAATCAGATAGTCAAGATACAATCAAGACATAGTGAGACATTCACATGAGGGAAAGTGGACGACAGTTTGTTGAAGGCTATGGGGCTGTTTAATGGAATGAGGCAGAGGTGAATAGAAGATTTGGGAGGGAGATAGAGTGTCCGATGGAGAAACAGTCGCTATGGGAGTAATAGAGGGGGTTAGAGGCATTAAAACTGTGTGGGGGTATCATGGTATGGGAGGGTATGAGAGTGAGGTACTCAGAGTAAAATTGAGATTCTGGGAGGGAGACAGCTTTACGAAGTTTGTGTGTGGAATGGAATGAAGTCGTCAGCTGGAGGGTGGAAGGGAGAAATGGGGACAGGTCCGTGTCACAAAGCTAGTGAGTCAAGATAATTATTTTGGGAGGTAACTGTTCCAGTGAGAGAGAAGAATGGCGGGGGAGTGGGACTGAAACGGATAAACTTTTCTGAAAGCCGACACAGATATGATGGACCGAATGTCTTCGTTCTGCGCTGTGCAGTTATATACTATATAGAAGAGGGAGGATGGGGTGGAGGTGCGCTGTGATGGCGGTGACTGGACAATAGGGGACAGTGAGTGACCACTGGTGAGAGAGTCCGGGCTCCTGCTCTTACCCCACACAAAGATTCCCATTCGGTTGCTCTCCGGTGATGTGAACTCACGTCCTTCTATGTTCGAAGTATATATACACGTGTAGTTTCCTGCATTGATCTCCGATAGGGTGAATGTGGCTGTTTTGCTATATTCTGGAGCTGGTTGTGACCTGCTAAACTCGCCATCTCTATATAAAGAAAAAATGCTACCTGGATAATTCCCAGAACATGAGATAGCAGCACTGTCCCCTCTCACAAACACCTCGGAATCTGACTGCAGGGAAATGTCGGGTTTCTGGAGCGGATCTGAAATGCAAACACAGCGAAGGTAATCTCGCAACGACTCGCTCGGTGACACGGACATGGATCAGGTTACAGTGAAATAGGATACTTGCACGTTTCCCGGCCTTTACGAGGCATCGGGACGAGTCGGTGGGGTGAGCCTTTCAGTGGCAGGTGCACGAAAGAACCCAGCTAGTGTCTCTTTATACACAGCAAGCTTTGGTGGGGAGAGAGTTGGCCAGGGGGGGCAATGCCGTCTGGGAAAGTAACACACAGTTCCAGCCGGGGCAGGAATAAAGTATGAACTTTTTCGTGTAATATTCAGATGCGTCTTTAAACACATTCAAATGGCAGCCAGAACTTCACAAGAGGGCGATGAAGTGCGGCATATCAAGTTACGTGGTGATGTGTTTGACAACAGAATACTACATTGGGTCTCCAGTGCTGTTCCTGAGCCCAGTCGAGTCCGTGGTATTTCAGAGAAAGTCTGAAGACGGCACTGATCAGCACGTTTACCATCAGGAGTGGGGTGAGTGGCGGGATGGTTTGTTGGGGTGAAGGAGAGCAACGAGGGAGTAGGGCAGGAAAGGGGCCAGCAAGAGCGTGGAGGGGTAAACGTGGCGCCAGTAAGGGAGGGAGGAGAGGGGGTTAAGATTATAGGGAGATTTCAAGGAGAGAGATAGCAAATGGAGGAAGAGTAGGGGAGGAGAGTGAGCGAGAGAACGGGATAGAGGGCAAAGAGGGTGGAGTGTGGGGAAGAGACGTGCAACAAAGCTGTAATAGAGGTACAAGTAAGGAGTGAAAGACTGGGGGAGAGGGAGTCAGGAGGGGGGAGAGGGGGAAATGGGGCAGAGGCCGAGAGAGGGAGGATAGATGAGAGGGCCAGTGGCTGGTGAAGGGGTTAAAGTTTGGGGGAGAGGGGAAGCAGAATACGTTGGGGTGGAGAAAGTGGGACACAGGGGAAAATAACATGTGTACATGATCGATGTTGTAAAGAATGGTAATAACAGGGGCTGCTGTAAATGGTCAAAAGACAAACAAGTTAATGTGTGAGATTTCACTCAGCTCTTACCCCACACAGAGATTGCCACTCGGTCGCTCACTGGTGATATGAACTCTCGGCCGTCTACGTATTTTTCATAATTACACGAGTAATTTCCTGCCCTGACCTCCGATGGGGTGAATGTGTGGTTGTTCTCTAGATCTGGTTGTGATGTGATAAACTCGCCGTCCCGGTATAAAGCAAAATCGCTGCCGGGATAATTCCCAGCACATGAGATCTCAGCGCTTTCCCCTCTCACAAACACCGGGAAATCTGGCTTCACGGAAATGGTGGCTTTCTGGAGCGGATCTGGAATTACAACGCAGTAAAGACATCCTCAAAAACACTCGCTCTGGTATTTGTTCTCCGGTTATAGCGAAAGTCACAATTTGCTTGCTTCTCAGGGGGAGGGTTGGAGGCAGAGGTGCAGAAGAGAATCCAGGATGTGTTTCTTTACAAAGAGATATGTGTGTGTGTGTGTGTGTGGGGGGGGGGGGGGGGGTACAGGGGACGAGCGACGCTAAAACCGCGGTGGCGACGGAGAGCAGTAAGTCTGGGATGACACACAAGTCCAGCCTGGGACGGGAGGAAGGGAAGTCAGTCTGAAAGTCTCGTGTTTCTAACCAGGAGAAGATCAGCACCAGGTGATCAAAGGAGAACTGAGGAGCAAGAGATTCACACAGGGAAGTGAAATTGTGGAACTGCCGGAAGCAATGATTCAATCAGAGAGTGTAGATTCATTCAAGAAGGAGTGAGACCTTCACATGATTGAGTGATTGACCATTTACTCCTCCTCTCTCCCTCCCTTCCCTCCTCTCACCCTGACCATTTCCCCTCAATGCTCGGGTCATGACCCAACTGTGCAGCGCCTTGGGACGTCCTCCTGACGTGAATGGCGCTCTATAAATGGAATCTTGTTGTTGTTGGGGACTTGAGGGTTTTGAAGATAGTGGGTGTGTGATTGAATGAGGGAGAGGGGGACAGATGGTTTGGGAGGGTGTTAGGGGTGGGAGGGAGGAACGGACGGTGTGAAAGAAGCAGAGGTGTGGGGAGGCAATGACATTGTGGGAGGTTGTCACGTTGTGGGAGTGTATCCGGGTGTGGGACGAAGGGAGGAATGGAGACGGTGGGGGCAGCGAGAGTGAGGTAGGTTTTGCGTAAGGGGGAGAGAGGGCGTCAGCTGGAAAGGAGGAAGGAGGAATTTGGACAAAGTCGTGTCACATAGTGAGTAAAGGAAGATAACTGTTTGGGTTGGAAAAGGTTCCATTGCTGTAGGGGAGAGCTGGGGAGTTGCATTGAATCTGAAAGGTGTTTTCAAAGAGCCGTCGCAGACACGACAGCCTGAATGGCCTCCGTCTCTGCTATACAATGCTATGGTTTTATAAATAAACGTTTGGATGCTGCGGAGGCGTGCCGTGATCGCAGTCACTGGACACTGGGTCTTACTGCGTGTCCTTTGGTGAGAGAGTCCGGACTCTTGATCTCACGGCAGCGCAGTGATTCCCACCCGAGCGCTCCCTGTCGATGTGAACTCGCGGGCGTCCATGTGTAAGGACATGTGAAATTATTCACACCAATCATGTGCTGCACAGATCTTCGATGGGGTGAACGCCGACGTGTTGTTTTTCTTTGGAAACCGTTGTGATGCGATGATAAGTTCGCATTCTCTGTATAAAGTGGAACTGCTGCCAGGATAATACCCAGAGAATGAGATCGCAGCGTGTTCCCCTTTCACACACACCGGGGAATCTGGCTTCAGGGAAAAAGGGTGGGTTTCTGGATCGGAGCTGGAATTTAAACTCGAATACTCACACCGTGAGATGAACACAGGAGAAATGACCATTTGTTGTTGAGGGGCAGGTTCAGGACAGACCACATCTCTTGTTTCTTTCCAGAGAGGAAGTGAGGCGCAAAGTGTGGGAACGGGTGGCCATGGAGAGGGCAGTGGGACCGCGGTGACATACAACTGCAGCCGTGCGCAGGAGAATCGGAATTCAGTCTGAACCGTCTCCTGTGATCTTCAGAGGTGTTCATCGACAACAGAATAATGTCACGATCAGGTGGTCAAACGGAGACTTTAAAAAGCAACGACTTCACTCAGATTGGAGTGAGATTGTGGGACGCGCTGCCTGAAACACACTGGAACCAACTCGTCTGGATGCGTTCAAGAGGAAGCCAGACCTTCACGGGAGTGTGAGGGGATTAGAGGACGCTGGATGGAGGGAGCGTGTGGGAATGAATGGGTGGGAGGAATGAAGCGTAGAGAATCAGGGAAAGGTGAATAGAGCGCGTGTGAGGGGAATAGAGGACAGGGAGGAAGTGGGGGAGAGGGGAGTGGAATGTGTGGGAGGAAGGGGAATGCAGAGTGTGACAGGGAGGCAGGGAGGAAGAGAGGTTTGCGGGGGAAGAGTGCTGGAGGGAGTGAAGGAGGGAGTTAGGAATAAAATGCGTGGAGACAAAAAAAAATAGAGGGTGAAAGGAGCAAGGAGGAAAGGGGAGAGTCTCGAAGCACAGGGCGAACCGTACAAGAGGGCGGGGAGTCGGTCGTGCTGTGATGGATGTGATTGGACACAATTGGGGCAATGGTTGACCCTTGGTTGTGAGAGACAAGATCATCGTTCCTACCCAATACAGAGATTCCCACGCGTTCGCTCTCTGGCGATGTGCGCTCTCGTCCGTCCATTGATTCAGTATATTCACACCAGTAATGTCCTGCGCTGACCTCCGATGGGGTGAATGTGGCCATGTTATGAAACTTTGGCGCTGGTTCTGATTTGACAATCTTGCCGTCTCTGTAGAAGGTGAATTTGCTGCCAGGATAATTCCCAGAACACGAGATCTCAGCGCTTTCTCCTCTCACAAACATCCGAGAATCTGGCTTCAGGGAAATTGTGGGTTTCTGAAACGAATCTGTGAACAATAATAATAATAATAATAATAATAATGCTTGCATTTGATATAGCGCTTTTCACGTCGGGAGGACGTCCCAAAGCGCTTCACAGAACACACTGTAAAGTGAATTGACTGTATATTTGTGGGCGAACGCGGCAGCCAATTGCGCACAGCAATGTCCCACAAACAGTCGTGGATTGAAAATGACCAATTTATTATTGTTTTTGGCTTTGGAGGGATTATTATTAGGCTCTGTGTGGAGTAAGGAAACTTGCCCAAGGTTTCGCCCTCTGCCTGGAATTGAACTCAGGTCTCTCACTTGCAAAGCGAGTGCTCTAACCACTGAGCTACAGGACTCCACTCCAAAAGACAGCGAAGATAATCTCACAATCACTCGCACTGATCTTTGCTGTGACAGTGAACGACAGGATCGGCAATGAGCACAGCGTCAGCCTGAGAAACGGTTTCTGTCTGAGATTCAACACGAAGCAGAAATGTGGACTGATTTTAACCCGGGTCAGTGTCAGCTTTGGGGTCAGTGTGAGCTTTGGGGTCAGTGTCAGCTTTGGGGTCAGTGTCAGCTTTGGGGTCAGTGTCAGCTTTGGGGTCAGTGTCAGCTTTGGGGTCAGTGTCAGCTTTGGGGTCAGTGTCAGGGTCAGTGTTTGCTCGTGGTCAGTGTGAGCTTGCAGTCGGTGTGAGCTCGGCGGGCTTGTTCCCTCTTCTGTCTGTACAGGTAGAGTTTATAGATGTCGGTGTCATACTGAAAACCAGAAGGGAATTTTACTTGGTGACTTGGAATAGGAACCTTTGGTCAAATTATTGTTGATCTTATTGGACGTGGTTTCAAACATCTGGTGTTCGAGAGCTACACATCCAAAGCCTTGGGGCGCCCTCCTGATATGAGCAGCGATGGTGATATATTGTTGGTGTGTTGACCTGAGTCACGCCACTGTTTATCTCTCAATAGTCACAAATCAATAGAAACAGAAAATGTACATCCACTTTGAACAGCTCCACACACTGCCATCAGCCCTTCTCCCTGTAATAAGCTCCGCACCCACCACCGCCCTGTGTTCAGCTTCTCGCCCTGATATAAATCCCTCAGTTACTGTCCTCAATCCCTCTCCCTGTTTCCCAGCACCTCCTAATTTGCTCAGCCCCGCACCCTGTTCCCAAACCCCCCACTGTGACAGGTCCCTCCTGGAGTGCTCAGTGATAAGCATCTCTCCCTCTGATCAGCCTCTCCCGCTCTACTCTGCTCTTCCTCCTGTGATAAATCCATTAACTCCTGTGCTCATTCGTACACTCTGGGATCAGCCGCTCCCACTGTGATCAGCGCCTACTCCTTTGCTCAGACACATCTGCTGCGTTCAGCCCCCTCCAGTCGTCAACCATCCTCTTCTTAGCCCTGTATGTTCACCCCACGCAACAAACCCAACACCCCACACTCCTGTCGTCCAGCCACCCCCCCTGTGCTCCAGCCCACAACAACAACAACAACAGCTCCTCTGGACGTGAACCGCGCTCTATACACGCAATCTTGTTGTTGTTGTTGTTGTTGCTCAGCCACTGTGTTCAACGCTGTTCCCATCCCGTGTGCTCACACCCTTTGCTCACCCCGACGCAAGTGCACTCTGCCTTGCCCGCCAACATTTTGTTCAGCCTCTGTGCTCACCCATGTTCTGCTCACCTTCTGCGATCACCACGCCTGTGATAGCACCCTGTGCTCAGCGCATCTGAGCTCACAACCTGTGTTCAAAACCTGTGCTAACACCCACCCCCATCTGTGCTCACCTCTCCTTTTGCTCCCCCAATCCATGCGATTGTGGAGTCCTGTAGCTCAGTGGTTAGAGCACTCGCTTTGCGAGCGAGAGACCCGAGTTCAATTCCAGGCAGAGGGCCAAACCTCGGGCAAGTTTCCTTACTCCACACAGAGCCTAATAATAATCCTCCAAAACCAAAAACAATAAATAAATTGGTCATTTTCAATCTACGACTGTTTGTGGGACATTGCTGTGCGCCATTGGCTGCCGCGTTCGCCCACAAATATACAGTCAATTCACTTTACAGTGTGTTCTCTGAAGCGCTTTGGGACGTCCTCTCGACGTGAAAAGCGCTATATCAAATGCAAGGATTATTATTATTATTATTCTCTCCTCCACGCGTGATCATCCATTATGTGCTCACCATCTCTGCTCAACCCCTGTGCTCACTCCATCTTTTCACTCCCTCTGCTCAACCCTTTTCTCAAAATTTCTACTCAACAACCAGTGCTCAACTCCGCGGGGCTCATCCCACACCGGACTCAAACTCAGTGCTGACACACCCCGTGCTCACACACCAAAGTGCTCAAGCCTCTTGGGCTCATCCTAACTGGGCTCTGCACCTCTTCTGCTAACAATTCTCTTGTGACCAGCCAGCTCACTGCTCATAAACCCTGAGCTCAGCCCCTGTGCTCAGCCTCTGAGATCACCCCCATGACATCCCCATGTGCTGACACACCTTGTCCTCATACCCAACTCGAGCTATCCCATGCGTTCACCCATGGTGCTCACCCTTGTACTCAAAACTGGGCTCACAGTCACTGTGCTCACCCTTGACCTCACGTCGACCCCTGTGCCCCCTTGAAACCCTGTGCTCCCTCTTTGATGCAGGCGCCGACCACTCCTCTGCTTAACCCGCCACCAGTGAGCACACCCCCACCCTGTGCTCACTCCGTCCGTTCACTCTCCTGTACCCAGCGCTTTGTGCTCCGGACCCTGTGCTCACACCGCCTATGCTGAAACTGGGTCCCCCACCACTGTGCTCAACTCTCCTGTAGCTCCACACGCCTTATTGTGCTCAACTCTCCTGTAGCTCCAACCCTTCACTCTATTTACGCCCCGTACCCTTGTGCTCATCTTCGCTGCTCATTCCCCTGTGCTCACCCGCCCTGCGCTCAATTTCTTTGTGCTCCACCCCCTGTGCTCAACCAACCGTATGCTCAGCCTCTCGTTGTGCTTAGCCTGCCTTGTGCTCTCCCTTCTGTGCTTATCACGCTGAACTCAGCCCAATGATTACACAACTTGTGCGCCATTCCAGAGCTCCACCACCATGTGTTCACATCCGTTGTGCTCGCATCCCTGCCTCTTACTGTGCAAACTATTCTTTCTTCCCACAACATACCCTGTGTTCAAACCTGTGCTCACTAAAGCCTTGAATCAGTCCCCTTCCTTTGCTGAAACACCACCTGTGCTCAGCTCCCTTTGCTCAATCCCCTGTGCTCTGCCCTTCTGCTCACCACCCATTGCGCTCTCCAACACCTGTCCTAACTGACTCCGAGCTCAAAACCCCTCCTGGTGCTCATTCAACAAGAACTGTCTGCTCAGCACCTATCCTCATCCCCCTGTGCTCACCACCCCACTGTGCTCACCCGAACACCTGCCTCACTACCTCTGTGATCAAACCCCTTTGCTCCCCTCTCTTCGCTGAACACCTTACCTGTGCGCACTCACAGTGCTCAGCCCCTCTTGGATCAGCCCATTACCACATGCACAAACCTTGTGCTCACAACCCTTTCCTCACACCTCTTGCTCACACACCCTGTGCTCACATATCCTGCTTACACTGCCTATGCTCCCCTCTCCTCTTCCTCACCCCCTTCCGTTGTTCATACCTCTGTGCTCAGTTTCTTGTGCTCACAGACACACCGTGTACTGAAATTACCGTGTTAAATCCCCTGGGCTAAGGCGTCTGTGCTAAAACCCCTGTGCTCACAACCACCTGGGCTCACCAGGCCCTGTGCTCACCCGATGCTTATGTTCACTACCGAAATGCTCAGGCCTAGGTCTCAAACCCTATTATCACAACCCACTATGCTCACTTCTACTCATCACCACTGTGCTCGTCCCGTGTGCTCATCTCACCCTGCTCACCCCATTGGCATCGTCCCCTCCCCGTGCCGACACCGTCCTATGTTTACCAGCTCTGTGCTGCCAAATTTGCATTGCTCCCACCCTGTAATCATACCCCATGCTCAGCACCGCACTGAGCTCAACCAACCCTCCTTGCTCATCCCCACTATGGTCACTCCCTATGATCACACCCTGTTTAACGGCCCTCAAGCTCCACTGCTCTTTTCCTCACCCGCAACAAAATGCGCTCACATCTTAGTGCTCGTCATCCTGTTCGCTGAGCCACTTCACTCTGCTCACACACCTCCTGTCTTTCTCCACCCTGTGCTGAACACCCTGTGGTCACCACCGACTGTACTCATCTGCCGTTTGCACTCACACCACGGTAATAATAATAATAATAATAATCCTTGCATTTGATATAGCGCTTTTCACGTCGGGAGGACGTCCCAAAGCGCTTCACAGAACACACTGTAAAGTGAATTGACTGTATATTTATGGGCGAACGCGGCAGCCAATCGCGCACATCAATGTCCCACAAAGAGTCGTAGGTTGAAAATGACCAATTTATTTTTGTTTTGGGTTTTTGGAGGGATTATTATTAGGCTCTGTGTGGAGTAAGCAAACTTGCCCGAGGTTTCGCCCTCTGCCTGGAATTGAACTCGGGTCTCTCACTTGCAAAGCGAGTGCTCTAACCACTGAGCTACAGGACTCACTCACTTCCCTTGAGCAGAATCCCCTGTGCTGAACCCCTGTGCTCACACACCTTTGCTGAACACACCTGTGCTGATCCACCCCGTGTTGAAAACACCTGTGCTCCCGCCCACTGTGCTGACACACTCTGTGTTCATCCACCTGTGCTCATCTGCAGCTTTGCTCAGCCGCCTCCATCTGCATACATCCCCTGTGCTCACAGCCCCTACTCACACCCCGGGTACCTTCACTGTGCTCAATCCTCTTGTTGCTCACCCTTTGTGCTCCGCGCCCTGGGCTCAACACAAACTTTTCTCAGTCTTATCGCTGTGCTCAGGCTCATGGTCGGGCCTTCAGCCTCTCAGCCCCGAGGCTCTGGAACTCTATCCCCAGTGCCTTCGCCGCTTCCTCCTTTCCTCCTTCAAGGCCGGT